TCGAAGTGATAGAGGAGGAGAATATGTTGCTCCATTTGAAGAATTTTGTGCCTCTAATGGTATAATTCATCAAACAACAGCACCATATTCACCGCAATCTAATGGAGTTGCCGAGCGAAAAAATCGAACTCTTAAGGAGATGATGAATGCAATGCTAATTAGCTCGGGTTTACCCCAAAATATGTGGGGGGAAGCCATACTCTCGGCAAATTACATCTTAAATAAGATTCCCCATAAAAAGATGGATAAAACTCCATATGAACTATGGAAGGGTCGAAAACCATCTTATAAATACGTCAAAGTGTGGGGGTGTTTGGCTAAGGTTGAAGTACCTAAACCAAAACAAGTCAAAATTGGACCCAAGACTGTTGACTGCATTTACATTGGACATGCAAATAACAGTAGTGCCTATAGATTTATAGTGCATAAGTCTGAAATTCCCAACTTAAATCGTGGAATGACAATTGAATCAAGGAATGCAATATTCTTTGAACACATTTTTCCGTGCAAGGAAATAGTTGAAGGAAGTTCAAAAAAAGAGAACTCACGAAGCTACAAGTGCTCCAACTCAAGATGGAGATGAACCGAGACGTAGCAAGCGAGCCAAAGTCTCTAAGACATTTGGTCCCGACTTTCTAACTTTTATGTTGGAAAATGAACCAAGGAATATTCAAGAGGCATTGTCTAGTCCCGATGCACCATTATGGAAAGAAGCCATAAGAAGTGAGATCGATTCCATTATGCAAAATCATACTTGGGAACTAGTAGATCTTCCACCGGGGTGCAAACCTTTAGGATGCAAGTGGATCCTTAAAAGGAAATACAAGGCCGATGGGTCAATTGATAAATTCAAGGCTAGATTAGTAGCTAAAGGATTTAGACAACAAGAAGGATATGACTTCTTTGACACGTATTCGCCTGTGACAAGAATCACTTCAATACGTGTGCTCATTGCTATTGCAGCATTGAACAACCTTGAGATACATCAAATGGATGTTAAAACGGCATTCTTGAATGGTGACCTCGATGAGGAAATATACATGGAACAACCCGAAGGGTTTGTGGCTCCCGGCCAAGAGAAAAAGGTGTGTAAACTTGTAAAGTCATTATATGGTCTCAAACAAGCACCTAAACAATGGCATGAAAAATTTGATAGAACTATGCTATCAAATGGTTTCAAAATAAATGAATGTGATAAATGCATCTACATTAAAGGTTCAACAAACGATTTTGTAATTGTTTGCTTATATGTAGATGACATGTTAATTATGGGCAGCAGTCACGATATTATCGTGAAAACAAAGAACATGTTAAAAAATAATTTTGACATGAAGGATATGGGCCTAGCCGATGTTATCTTGGGAATCAAGATAGCTAGGACACCAAATGGAATTGTCTTAACACAATCTCATTATGTTGAAACTGTGCTTAAGAAATTCGATGCATTTGAGAGTTCTCCTGCAAAAACACCAGTGGACTTGACTTTACATCTAGCCAAGAATCAAGGAGATGCTGTCTCTCAAATTAAATATGCAAAGATCATAGGGAGTCTAATGTATTTAACTAATTGTACTCGTCCCGATCTTGCATACGCCGTGAACAAATTAAGTCGATTCACGAGCAATCCAAGTGAAGATCATTGGAAAGCAATCAATAGAGTACTTAGATACTTAAAGCATACCATAAACCTTGGATTGCATTATACAAGATATCCGGCTGTGCTAGAGGGCTATAGTGACGCAAACTGGATATCGGATACGAACGACTCCAAATCCACGAGTGGATATGTATTCATGATTGGTGGGGGAGCCGTTTCATGGAAATCTTCTAAACAAACGTGTATAGCGAGATCCACAATGGAATCCGAATTCATAGCTTTAGATAAAGCCGGTGAAGAAGCCGAGTGGCTTCGTAATTTCTTAGAAGATATTCCTTGTTGGTCGAAACCTGTGCCAGCAGTAATGATTCATTGTGATAATTTATCTGCAATAGCAAGGGCTCGAAACACAATGTACAATGGTAAGTCTAGACATATCCGTCGAAGACACAACACCATAAGGCAATTGATCTCTAATGGAATTATCTCAGTTGACTTTACGAAGTCAAAAGATAATTTGGCCGATCCTTTGACGAAAGGAATCAATAGAGATCAAATGTGCAAGCTAGTGATGGGAATGGGTCTAAAAACCCACAAATAAAAGAAAATCCATGATGGTAACCCAACCTTGTAGATTGGAGATCCCAAAATCTTGGTTCAATGGGCAAACTAAGTTATGGAAATTCAAATTGTGCACTTGGAAAATTATTCCTACCATTCCCTAAACCAAGTGCTACCTGTCGAGTGTGGTAAGGGTAAGTCAAGTGACTTTTAATGATTCCTATGACCTTTTAAGGTGGAATATGACAGGATATTCTTTTAAGGAGATCACCTATGTAAGTGTGAAGTATAGGGCCGCTTCGATGAAACACTTATGAATCCAAGAATGGTCCAAGGCCGAAATGGACAACACGTGAGAACAAAAGACGTTAGAAATGTTATTGTGTAAATGTTGCTGCCTTGGTTTACATAAAAAGTTGATTAGTTCAAGACATCACGTTCACTAAACAACAAGTAAATCCAACAACATATTACTAAGGAAGGTTCAAAGCCATAAGCTACCTCTCCCGATGCAATAACAAATCGTTTGGACTTTAAATGTCTGCATGCATTAATCTCATTCATGTGGGGGATTGTTGGAAAATTGAGGTGTTTACCTCAAATGTGGAAAATATTGAAGTGTAAAATTATGGGAAACAAAATCTACTCTTCGAGTAGATAATTGTAGTGTGTTTAAATGCTCAAATCCAATATGGGATGAATGAGAAATAAATGCACAAAGTAAAGTACTTCAATGAGCTAAAGTAAGCTCAAAGGGCTTGGTGGGAGGTGAAAAGTCACTTGTCCCACATCACGAAAAAAGCATTAATGAGAACACTTTAAATAGTGTCAAATGGATAGCTAGAGGTATAATCAAGTGAGGGATCAAGTACCAAGCCACACGCGCGCCGCCGCCGCCCGCCCGGACCGAGACCGAGCCCGAGCCCGAGCCCGAGCCCGAGCCCGTGCGCGTGGCCGATGGACTTTGGACTTTGGACTTTGGACTTTGGACTTTGGACTTGTTTGGTTTGGAGTTGGGTTAAGTTTTTGGGCTTAATTAATTAATCTAGCATCATATCCGAACAGGTGGCAGTTTAAACACGAATTGGTGCGTAACCCCTGCGAAAAGACACAATGCTTTTTCAGCTCCTTTCATTTTCTAGAGTTGTGTCTTTTGGAACACAACTTTCTGAAAACTATAAATACAGCCCTAAGTGTTCCAGCAATCTCACTCAATCATCCAAGCATTCATAAGCATAAGAATATTCGCTGCATAATATCTTTCTTTCGTGTCAATAAAAGTCCAAAACGTCTTTTCGTTCGTTGTGTTCCAGCAGTTGTTGTGCTGCTCTGTTGGAACTGTAAGTCGTTGTATCTTGGGAGACAATTGCCGAAACCGAAGCACTGTTGCGGGGCAATTTTGTCTTAAGGAGAGAGAACAAAGTTCTTGCCTCGACTTTTCACTGTTTATCAATTCTTTCTTCAAAATTCCTATCTCGAAAACCACTTCAAATAACATTTATTGCATTTGCATATTTTTTTTGCGTCTTACGGTTGTTGTTTTTTTCAAATTCAAGCAGTAGATTTGTTTATATGTGTTGCTATCTAAGTGTTTGACAAATTGTCTGAATGAACAATGTATTTGAATATTGCTTACCACAGCTTGTCAAGTTGCAAATTGTGGTATTACAGTTAAACCTCTATAAATACAGTCCGGACTAGCGAAATTCTATTAATTTAGGGAGACATTAAGTTATCGAGCTAATGATTTAGTAGGTTTTTACCGAGTCGGAACCGGTAGAAATTATTATTTAAGGTATGTTCTTAATTTATCGAGGTTCTACTGTATTTGGTTTCTAGGGCAAGAAATCTGGCAAATACTGGAAATGGAAAAGTAGCATATAGATAAAAATTTGATTTCGAGGGTCCGTTTATGGAATCCAGTTTATGGAAGCTGGTTTCTGAGTAATGGTTTGGATTTCATCTTAATAAACTGTAACGTTTGTGATAGTCAAATTTCACAGTTGGCAGTCTAAGATACACGTTCGCACTTTCTGTTACTGCTTTCTTGTATCTGCGATTTAATTACAACATTGCGATTTGTCATTTTATTTCAGATACAAGGACAACTATGATACAACGAGTATGCATAAAACTACGTCAGAATGCAATTGAAGATGGTACAAACACGCCTAGCAAACAAGTTCAAATGTCCCTTTTTCTCGTTTTATTTCCTGCAAATTTTGAAAATCTTAAAGAATGAATCTGCAGTTTGAATCCTGGATTCACATCGAAAGGGGCAAAGCAGAGGAAAACAGGTGAGAATTGAGTTCCCTAGCATGAACTTTTAATCTCGTAAAATGAATAATGTCAACAGTTATGAGTTATGACATTGGGTAAAATATAAATCTGTTATATTAATTCACAAAAAAAAAAAAAGATTAATTAAGTTCACTGTCCATGTACTATCCAGATTTAGCTGGCGAATAATCGTATACGTAAAGTCGGCGAAGATTATGGATTTTGTCCAAATAAAACAATTGTGAAACAGGGATTTTCTTTTTCTGCGCATTTTCTGATCGAAGTGAATACGATTAGACCTAACGCTACACGACACATTGTTTGTTGTCAGTAAAAGTTTAGGTAAATGAGTCATATGTCTAATCTTTTTTCCTTTTATCTTTTCGTTTAACTTATGCAACTGCACATCTATTCCTACATTGTATTTCCCCTCGACGATGTACTAATTTCCACTCGACAGATATTGAGTTTCCAATTTTATCCTATGAGGCAAAATATCGATTTCCCTTGCTGCTTTTTTCTGCAATTTGGGATTTAGTTCAGGGACTTTTTTTCCGGGATGTCAAGAAAATATATAAGATTTTATTATATCACTACGCTTATCTCATATAGATAACAACTAGCAATAACCAACAAGTCTAATCAAGAAAATTTAGGGGAACTCATAAGAAACTAGCTGAATACTTATTCAATTTTACAGCAAATCAATTGCAGCAGGGTTAATCATCTTCAAGCTCTCTCAGGCTAGGATAAGGGCTACTGATCTGCATGCCACTGATCATTTGTCGAAGCTCTAAAGTCTCCTCTTTGAGCTGAGCATTTTCTTGAACCACACGGTCGTGACTCTCCGAGACGTGGTTCAGTTTGTCGATCAGTTGGTGGTTCTCGTTCCTGAGCCACACAACCTGCGACCAAAGCTCGTCCAAGTGCTTTTGCTTGCGCATGCGCGACCTCCGTGCGGATTCTCGGTTAGAAATCATCCTCCTCTGCTTCCTCTCGTTTATTATGCTTATTTGCTCCTCCGCTTCGTCTGAAGTCGAGTTACTGCTGAAACTCGTTGACTTAGGGTTGAATTCTTGAACTTGTTGAGGGATTTGGAATTGATATATCGAGTTTGTAACCATATGGTTATTAGCGAGGCCGAAATGGGACGGGAAATTAGATGGGTTCGAGTTTAGTAGATATTGAAGGTCGGTAACCTGATTGGATTGCATTTTCTTTTAATATGAGTGGGTAAGATATGCTGTGAGTTTTTTGAAGGGCAATTGGAAGTTGTGGGAGGGGGTTATTTATAGTACATGGGAAGGGGGCAGTGGCCCCCATATATATTACTTTAGAGTACAGTAGAGTTCCTCAAAGATGAGACCACATGTATTCACATAAAAACATTATGTACATGTATGCATGTATGCATGTATGCATGTATTTTACATGTTACATGAAAGCATGCAACATGATCTAGACAATACATGTAATTAAATTAAATTGAGTTGTGGATAATCTTTTTTAAAATTCGAAAGAAAAAAGGATGCTTTATGCTTACATCATAGAAAAAGAGTGTTAATTACGAGTGGTGGGGTGTTAGAATGTAACAATTTAATTGGTTATGATAGAGAAATCCCGGGGGAGTGTATCTGAGATGAAGAAATTTGTGGTAATTGTCAGCGAAAGTAAATTGTTTTCGAATAATACGTCGGTTTTTAGCTAACGATATTTAGTAACGTGAAGGAATAGGACGAAGCCTTTAGACGATGGGGATGGCAATCCTTTTTTCTTTTTTCTCAAAGTAGAACACTTGTAGAAAATTAATTGGTGAGTCAACGATTTACTTTTATGTAACCATATTTAAATAATTAGATATCATGTATTTTTCATTTTTATTTGATTATATTCAAGTGAAATTAGTTCATACGATTACTCGAATACAGATTTTTTTTATACAATCAACAGTTATCGAATGTCTTAATCCCCATGTAGTCGTTTTTCACGGAGTTTATTTGCTTTTGTATTCCACTTAACTTAGACAACCATTTGAGAGGCGATCACTTTAATAAAGACGAGCTTTCGTTTTTTAACCGCACAAGTCATATATAATTTTTTTTTTAACGCAGGTTGAAGATCTCGTACGGCTCGTGGTGGGGGATGGAAAAATGATGAGTGCATGGATGTACTTTGAAAAATTGAACTCGTCCACTACGAAGAAGAATCGCAATCGAGGTAAAAAAAAAGGCTCTCATTCCATACACAATGGATATTCTATCTGGTTTAGTGGCCAAAATTGTCAAAAATACAATCACACAAAATTTGACCCCTTTTTTCTTTTCTCGTCTCGATTATTATTTTTTTGTCCCGTTTTTGATATATTCTATTCTTCATCTACTACATTTTCTTTCCTGATATACACACACCACCCCCACCTTTTTTTCGTCTACTGTCACGGTGTGTAACTCCGTTAATTTGTGTGATTAGCAATTTGATTAATGGTACGATTCTAAACGATAATCTTTTATAAACGATCGACATTGCTATTTGAGAAAAAAAGGAATCCAAATATAAAAAAGAGACCATCCCCCACAAATCTCTATCTCCCTTATAGCTTTGTTGAAAGTATTTTTTGACCAAGTGACGAAATCTAGTTTTCTTCGATAGACGACATAGCCTATATATAGACTTTAATATGATGTTGTCATTTCATCTTCCTTTCCATTCTTGTTTTTAGTTCAAAAGGAAACTTAACTTATATTACGTGCTTTTTTCTCCACCATTAGTGCTCGTTTTCGCTTAAACTCGTTTAAATTACGGTTTAGTTGAAAAGTAGTTGAGGGCTTAACCAAATTTGAAGTTTGTAGCATTAAGGAACAAGTTGGTTTATGTTAGAGTTTTTTTGCAAGGACTCCCACTAAGAATTAATTAGTTGTTAATTAAGTTAAGCAAATTGGGTAATTAAATAATAAAGATTTGGGGAAAATGAGATAAAGAAGTGGGGTTGGCTGGAAACATTGTCCTTGTGAGGTGAAAGAAATGATTAAAATACATATTACCCACTTAAGGCACAAACCTCTGTCAGCAAATCTTTTGCTTTCTTTCAATAAATAATGCTCGTATCTCATCATTTTCCCATTTTGACCTATCCCCTATTTAATTTAATTTTATTTTAATTTTATTTTTGTAAATGGGACATTTTTTTAAAAGTCATTAACCACTAAAATTATTTTACATATTTTTTTTTCCTTTGCTAAAAGTTCCTGAAAAAAATAATAAAGTTACATAGGCCGTTTAGCGTAGTCGACTAGGGACTTGTAGCAACAAATAAAAATAAATAATAAAAATTTGGTTACTATACTTTTAGGTAAATTAAAGCGATCCTCAGGTCAAATTATAAAAATATTCCTCTTATTTGGGTATATATAATTATTTCCTTTAACTAATTATGACGTCAAATTTAATATAATCTTCTAGGTTCAGTGGAATATTCTTTATTGTATATTTGTCTGTGCATAAATGTAGTTTCTGATGCACTATATCTGATATTTAGAATCCAATAGTCAACAGATACATCTTATGATCATCTTGTATCTAAATGTGGAGCTCGAGAATATGATAAAACGAGTATAAACTGAAGAATATTCTACATAATCTAGAAAATTTCACTAAATTTGACACCGCTCGGATGAATGTGTAGGAAGATTCATCTTTGAGGGGTGATTGTAATTACCCGAATAAGATGTTTTTTGTCTTAATAACTTGACTTTATCTCAGGGTGACCGTAATTTAACCAATAAATTTGTAATGAGGATTTTTTTTAGAAAAAAAAAATAGAAACTTAATAATATTTTGTTGCTTTGGGTCATTTATAAAATTGAGAATGGGGAAGGAATCCAATAGATAAGGACAGTGTCCCTAAACCAACGGTCAGGGTCTTGCAGTGAGGGGGGCTGGATTTAACATCCCACTCTGCCCCCATAATTTTTTTTGGGATTTGCTTTTTACCGTTTGAAAATTGGTATTTACCGTTCAAAGACTCTCTCTCTTTCTCTCTCTAAAAAAAACGCTCTCAAGGCGATTTCATCACAAATCATTCTTATTGGTGTGATATACGAACATAAATGAGTTCATCGGATGACGATCTGGATAGCGGACATAACGAGGTAAAAATTCCGTCTTTTCGATCGAAAAAAATGGGCTAAACATTCAAAAGCCCCATCTCGGGCGCCCGACAG